CCCCACCCCCGGCGGCACCCGCCCCAGCCTCCGGCTGCGCCCCAAGGTCGGTCCACCCCGCTCCAGGTCCACGTGCCACGCACACTCACCACGCGTACAGGCGAACACGTGCACCTTGCACACACGCGCGCGCGAACAGACAGACAGACAGACAGACAGACAGACAGACGGACAGACAGACAGACAGGCAGATAGACGGACAGACAGACGGAAAGACGGGCGGATGGACCCTTGTGGTTAGAGAGCTAGACTCCGATGAAAACAGAGGGGAACTTTGGAATGTGCGCCCCCGGGCCAACGGGAGCGAAGCGCCTGCAGGTCGGTGGTTAGGCAGCGGGCAGCACTCCCGTGTACCCGCGTGGCCTCCCTCGCCGGGCGCCCTCCACCCTGCAATGCGAGTACTACTCACCGCGATATGCCAAGTTGGCGCTTTCAAAACTTTCCGGGAACAGTACGCTTTCGGCGTGTCATGGGAGTGCGCGTTGGGCGTGCTGGGACAGAGCGGTTCAAGTCGTGTGCCTAACGGTGTACGAGCGTCGCTCGCGCCGTGCAAAACTTCCTCGGCTCAAACTCCTCTGCTGCTACGTGCCACAGGACTCCCTCCTCGCGTCACATCCCTGCCACACCCCTAAAATGTGTCTTCTTGTCTTTTGTACAAATTTTTTGTGCTCTTGATTTTTATTTAAATTCATTTCACTCGTTGAAAGCATTCTACTTATAGAGAAAGCGCAATGCTTTCATAATCAAATCGAGTATACAAAAAATGGACTATTAACATGAAGAATATTTGGGGTGCAGAAAAAAGACAGACTTAAAGCACTGAACGGCACTGGTCAAGTCTGTAGCTGGTTGAGTATACTTTCGAGTACCGAGTGGTCTTTAACATGGAGTTTTACGGCTGCTGTGTATTTGTAATCATGCAGTTGGTACCCCTGACAACTGTCATCTGTTCCACAACATAAATACTTGTACGAAGCTCGAATGAAGCCCAATTGTTGTCACATATCTCATGCACATTTTCTGTACCGTGTGTCAGGGCTACGACACAGCAGTAGGCGGGCTTGCCTCCTCGCCCATGCCCTTCAGGTGCCATGGCCCTTAGGCCCAAGGGAATGCAAACCTGCTACACTACCGTGTCGTGGTCCTGCTGACACACAATTCTATGGTACATCATTTTTGCCTCGTTTTTGCCAGTGCTCAGAAAGAGAGGGGCAGCACATGCACTTCAAGCGCAGAGTAACTAAATGTTAGGCAGAACCGTTTGGATGGTCTGCGGTGGAGCCTGGTAATTCGGATCCAATAAGCAGTGTGTATCGAGCCGGCGCTTGCAGTGGAGACGCGCGAGGGGGTTTGGTTTCTCGTGTAGCTTGCTTTGTTGTGTGGAGAGACTCCAACCCCACCCCTCGACCTCCCGGTCCACCGCTCGACCACGGAAGTGTTGCTCCATGAGCAATATCAGCATTTCAGTTTACTCGACCCGTGCATTAGGAAGCTCACCCCCGTGCTACACTGTTAGGTGTGTGTTAGGTGCAAAGGACCTAAAACACCAAACTACAAAACGCGAAGCAAATGAAGTTAACCAACAGTGTTGGTGTGACCTTCCAGATCCAGATCCAGACGGTCCGGGCCTAACCTTCCTCTACTACGCCGCAGCTGCATCGACCTGCTACCCACCCCCTCCCCCTCCTCTCACCAACACCCTGCGTCTGCTGCTGCGTCCGCCACCGCCGCTACGTTTGGCTACGCTCCACGTGGCTAGAGTAGATGGGGTGGGGAAGTGGAGAAGTGGGGGTGGCATAGTACGCTACAGTTTACGCACAGGCCGAGCAGGGGCAGCTGCCTGGCTCAGACAGGGTAGGACTGATATTGAAAAACAGGAAGCAGGATAGAGCATCAAACATGTCTGATACGAAACTAAGAAACCTTGTTCCTTAACTACAAGGTAGACGCACGTTAAAACCGTGTGAAGCTGAGCTAAATGTGCGTCTACCTTGGCCTGCGGCGCGCTGAAATTAAAATGTTTTCGCGATTTTGGTTGGCCTGCCTGTCCACCTCACATCCCACGTCTCACGCCAGGCGCCTCACTTCACGCCATCTTCCGGGCGATCTCCCCTTGCGCTTCCTGACAGAGCTGAGCATTTAAAGTTAAAGTTTAATTTCAAGTTCAAGTTAAGCTCAGCAACTAAGAAACTGTTTAGAAACCGTAACTATACCAGCACTCAGCACTCTAAAAGAACAAAGTTTCTTATTAATACATTGTTGTTTTTAACAGTGGCCCTCGTGCCATCCCCGCTTTGAAAGGCGTTCCTTATCTCATCGCCGTGAGTCGGCAGAACAAGAATATCTCTCCTAGTTGCCATTTGAGACTTCTCCGTAAGGCGCGGGTGCGAGCTTTGGCGGAAAAGTGCGAACGAGATAGAGAGAGATGGGGGGAGGGGGCCTAAATTTTGTCAGTGGGACACCTTGCCCATCATGCGGTGACCGTCTCTGCTGGTCATGGTGGAAGTTGCACAACTACGCTCAAGTACTATCGGACTTGCGAGGTTCGGCGGAGTGGGGGCACAAGTCCTCGGGAGGGGGTCTACGGCTGTGTGGTGTGGGCTGAACAAATACAAGGCCGTCTGGTTTGGATTCCAATCAGTTTCGGTCCCCTCACTCCATCGCAAGGCGCCAGGCCGACTACGCTCGTCAGCCGTGTACCTCAAACTTCAAACGACCAAAACTAAATAATGTGAGTTGATGCATTGTCTCCAAACTGGTATCTCGCTCGCTCCCACCTTACTGTTTTCCTCCTGAAACTGGATTCCTTGGGGGATTCCCATCCCGCATGTGGTTCAAGCTGCTAGGATAGGCTCGCCGTGAAAAATATTTTAGGTTTTACTGGGGAAAAGTTACTACCCGTCCCCGTCATCTTGACCACGATTTTTTGATTCTAGAAAACATGGCACCCAAATACATACTCCACTACTTCGATCTCACCGCCCTCGGGGAGCCCATCAGATACCTGCTTTCCTATGGCAATATCAACTGGGAGGATAACCGCTACAGTGCTGCTCAGTGGGAAACGATTAAAAGCAGTAAGTGCCCACTTTGAAAAAGTAAGTACATCTCTAGTTTGAAGCCTCGTCCTGCATTAACTCTTTTCACCTCCACAGCAATGCCCTACGGACAGATGCCAGTTTTACATATAGACGACAAGATTTTTGCCCAATCAAGTGCCATTAGCAGATACCTAGCCAAGCGGGTCGGATTGTCCGGCAAGGATGATCTTGAGAATCTCCAGATTGACCAAGCGGTCGATCTCTATCACGACTTCCGTCAAAGTAAGTTCAGATGCTACTATGCCATCTGTGAACGCTCCCCGCTACGGTAGCGCCTGACGTGTAGGCCGACCCGCCGAACAGCGACGTGGAGCCGGCGGAACACCCAGAGTAGGCAGGGGCTCTGCGACCAACTACCAACTCACTTACTTTGATCGCGCCACCAGAACGTTTACACATTGCAATCGCCATTATGTGAACAAAAGGGCATCTTTTAATGGACAAATTAGTCATTGAAAAAAGTTGCTCACGATTTAGAGTGTAGTCCACCGTCTTTTGAGATATTTGATTACATATTTTTAATCGCCGTTAATCGCACAATTATTTCCACAATTTCAGAAATTAGCGAATGGTACTACGACCCTATTCCTGAAAGCAAGGCGGCCAAGGAGGTGCTGCTAAAGGAGCAGGTACCTTTCTACTTGAACAAGTTTCAACAAATTGTAAAGGAAAACAAAGGCTTTCTTGTCAATGGAAAGGTACATAACACACCACATCTTATACTCTCGAGAAATTGTTGATGTCTGGTTCTTTTAATCATCTATCTATAATTTGCAGCTTACATGGGCAGACATCTACTTTGTCGCACCCTTGAAATACTTCAAGGATCTTTATGGCAGGGACTTTTTGGAGGGTTATCCCCTGCTACAAGAGTTGGTCAAGAAGGTGGAATCGACTCCCGCCATCGCCAAGTACATCGCTAAGCGCCCCGTCGGTGACAGGTGGAGGGATCCTGACTTCAAGTATACTTTGAAGTATCACTTCTAAAGCATACTCCAGAATCTAACGCCGGAACTACAAGAAAAATGTTGTTCTAAACCAAAATAAACTGCACATGTTTAGCGTCGTAAAAACCTTCGTAAATTTAATATATGTTTTGTAATCAATATTAACAAAATATGTTGTAAAATAACTTTTTAAAAAAACAATCCAGCTTGCCGATGAAAAGCAAGTTTTTACTCTTCTTGGAAAATTTTACCGTAAAACCTACAGTTATTTTTCACAGTGCCCGGGGAATATAAAAAACTGTTTTACATTTTTTACTGTTTTTCTAATTGCAGAAATAAAAACATACCAAACCTTTTGATAAACAGTTGTGTTTCTTGTTTTAGTGCTGACTGTGGTTCTCTCTTTAGAGGGAACAAAATTGTCCCACTGCATTCGATTGTCAAATTTAGTGCAGTAACAGGAACAATTGCCATATTGCCATTAAAGACATGTTGTTTATCGCAAACCGTTGCATTTTAGAAGGGTAGTTTTGTTAGCTTATCCTTGTGGTCAGCTTTGTTGGCTGTTGCCTTTTCGTGACTGAGATACAGAAAGAAATCCGAAGCTGTGTCGCAGGGACGGGGGCGCCTTCCTGTTCGATCTGCACAGCGTGCGGCGTTCCCAGTCGCACCGCGCCCTCCGATGGGACCCAGGTGAGGCGGGACAGCAAAA